TACTGCAGATTCTGACCCAATTTGAGGATGCTGTGAAATGCGACTATCTGTCAACAGAGTTTGAGACAACAGCAGAATTATTGAGCTATAGTGCTTCGTTGGGAGATTCTTCTTTTGAATCTGCTTATTCTGGTTCCATGCCTCAACTTCCTTGGATACCACAAACGACTGCTGCTGTGGCACTGAGGCTCTTGGAGCTGGATGCCTCTATTTTTTACGTTTCACAACAGAAGGCTGAGCTGCATGATGAAAAATCAGTGGAAGCTCTTCCAGTTGAGTATCTTTCTGTCTTTTGTCACGCACCGTTTCTGGTACTCTGAAAGCACGATGCAGTATTATAATGGAGTGTGTAAAATTAGGATCCTATGGAACTCACTGCTTACCCCAAATTGCTGTAACATATATTGAGTCAGTTGATCGCCTTTTTTATGTCCTTTTTGCTATTATTTTTTACTTTTAGCAATACTTCCTTTAATTTCTTTTCTATTGTACACAGAAGATCACTTTCAGGTATTCTTATTCAAAGGATATACCAAAGACTGAAACTACAGAACTGGATCAGCATGGACCTGTGAAAGAGAGAAACTGGGGTCAACTGCGTGACATTCCTGGCAGCTCCGGAAGTAGGCAAGTGGTTCGTAAGCGAGGAAGTGGCCGCCCACGCGGACGATCTCGGAAACGGGTTTTTAGTTCAATATCAAAATCCAGCAGGCAGGGTATAAGACAAGGTGAGACATTGACTCAAGTTCTTATGCAGCATGGAGCAAGAACAGGTGGACAGAGGCATGGGCGAGGTCGACGAACTCTTAGGAAAAGGAGAACAGAGAAGGTCGTTTTAGAGACGCTGCCAAATTACTTGGGAGACACGGCCACCCTTGAGAGTATTGTGGAAGAGCCAAGAAATTCTGTCCACGAGGAACTGGTGAATTTTGACGCTAGAAATATTGAAATTGAAAATGATGCCAGTAGTAACAGCATGGAAGCTGGGGATTTCGATGATAATGCCCTAGTCAACCCGTTTGAGTTTGAAAAATGGGGTTCGAGTTATGATGTTGTTCCAAACAGAAGTAAGGAGATGGTGGAAATGAGTGACGAGGATGTAGATGAAGTTGAGCATAATGGTTATGAGGAGGAAGAGGAGGGTGAAAAATTCGAAGGTCTGGAAATGAATGATAACTCAGATGGAGAACGGGATGGGAACATGGACGAAGGCTCAGATTCCATAGTCTCCGGTGATTATAGTGATTGAGGTCTCAAATTTTTGGTAACCAGTAAGCAAGGTACCGTGTAGTGATATAATTATATATATTTTTATATTCTTTGAGATGTAACTATTCAGTTGGCAGTCTTTTGTAAAATTGTAAGAGGACATAATAATTAGATTATCCTTTTTGACTCGGTTCACTGAGAAATATAATGAGTCTAAAAATGCACATATTTTCGTTGGTCCAGAAATCTGTCTGGTATTTCCTTTGCATTAAACTTCTGCGGAAACCGCCTCTTGAACACTTGCTGTGCACAGCAATTTGAAATTGTTGATGTGGCGTGCTAAAGGTGGTAAAAACTAGGGACAAACTCTAGCAGGTTGGGTTTAAACAAATTATTCATACACCGGCCCAGAAGAAATGAATTCAGAATGCTCCCACGTCTCAATTCACGCCCAAAACGCACCC